ATATATATATATATATATATCTGACATCCCTGCTACGTACAAGCAAAATAAATGTTAGCTAGGATTTCCGTAAATTATGATAACTTGCCTGACTATTTAATTTCATGTAATTATGATCATTGAAACGAAGCGTATTTGGTTTAGTCAGACACATCTTGGATCACCAAAGGTCTCAAACAAAGAATTAAATTTACGTGTTATATTTTCATTTACCTTAGCATAAGATAAAATGGAAAATTTGTATAAACAGTTCAAGTAAGAAATCGCTGTCTTCTCGTATAATTAAAATACATTATTATGAATTAAATACAAATAGTTGTTAATCAATATCTCTTCGGTGCTATAACTTTCAAGAAACACATTTTTAAGACTATCATTAATATTAATAATGGCAATTACCCTGGGAACTGTACCGTTTCGTTCTGCTCTAACAAATGACTCAGAGGTGTACAGATTTACGGAGGACGAGTAATAATTTATTTGGTTCACTTACTCATACAAAATGCACACACTTCGTTAATCGCGAGGTTTATATTTGTCTACAAACTGTATTTCAGTACTATCTCTTAACTAAAGCCAACATCATGAAATATAGAAGACACTGCGCTGTAATGTCACAAAATGTCAACACTACATACAATGTTGTTAAATAATCTGTTAATCGAAAATAGACTTATATCGGATACAAATCTTGAAAGGTTAGCTTCATTTCAATTTGTAACTGCTTCAATATCGAATGGTATTGAACATCATGATAAAATTAGACATTTCTGCCGGAAATGCTTAATTCTTTCCTGACGAATGACAAACACAAAACTGAACTACAGAGGTGCAGTTAAGTCGGATTTCATTCGTAAGAACACAAATGCATCACCAATTTCAGTTAGTAGTGTTTCGATAGATTATTTTATTAGATTAGTTAATTTTACAAGGCCAAATAAACTGCAGATATTAAGCAGCATCGAATAAGAAATTATAGAATTACAATAAACAATTAATTTTATGAAAATCGACTCAAAAGAAATAACAGCCCTGGGGAATATCTGGACGTGGAAATACGACTATTCACACTTTACAGGTAGATGTTTCACATTTTATGAGGCAAATTTTAACACCATGCATTGTTAGACCCTAAACTTGCTATTATGTTAACGTAATATTTGTAGCCGGAATCTCGCTGGAAACCTTACTAACGTGCGATGATGAAAATAATGATGAACTCGGTAGGAAAAGGTAAGTGCTTGTGGCCCATAATAAAATACCATCGCCTAATATGCTTTGTAGTTATAAGATAATTCATGGAGGTAAACTGCCAGTGGTCTTCAACCGAAAATCGAACCAGGTCCCGCTCAAAATAATGGCCACAGATATACCACTAAGCCTAACCAGCTCGGTTATTTCACAACAGAAAGCATACAGGGATCATACCAACTGAACAAGCAGCTGTTGGAGCTGTAATAAATGTTTTCCAGAAGCAGGAAGCGTCTACGAATGTTTAAGAAACGTCCCACGGAAAAGTTGAACAGAACACTGACATTACGCAATTATGGAATTTTTATTCCCGTGTGCGGTGCACGGCTTTTGCAAACTATGCATTTATTACACTTATTCTGGCAGTAATAAAGCATTACACGTGGCATTCATAACATGCGAGTAGTTAGGCCTATTGTGTGTTGGACGATTATCAGGGGCAAAATCTTTAAATACAAAATATCCCTTTCATATGCATCAGTACGCCTGCTGCTTCCTGTAACACATAATATATGCGGTAAAAGACGACAACGTCACAAGCAATTGTTTAAAAATACGATGTAAATTTTGTTTATATAAATATAGGCATTGAACATATAATTTTCCCATACAAATAACGTTTAGACTGCTTGATTTTCATCAAGTTGTTTTCAAAGATGTTAATAAATAAAATGAAATTAATTAAAATTATTAAAACACCTTAGAATTCTGGTGCGCTTTTGAGATGAGTGGTAATAATATTGCACTTCCCCACTATCTAACTTATAGACCAGGATTTGCGCGCGAGCACACACACATACACACACAGATTAACTGCATTCCAAAAAACTTTCAAACATATGCAGATACTTGAAAACGTTATCAGGCCCAGTTATAAATAATACTCTTCCTTAACGAAGCAAATCTTTTATAGAGAAATTTTAAAGGGTATTGACGATTGTGTAATACAGTCAACACTGACTTTGTCAGTCATCCAGTGCACGAGAGACTATTTGTAGAGTATTGGACGATTTAAGAAGTAAAAATAAACTATCAGTACAGTGAGGTCTTTTATATCTCTATTATTTTTATTCGGATTCTGTGTTTCTTCATGATAAAATACATCACCTGACCTGAGATTAGAGGTTCATTGGAATACGATGTTAAAAATGGGCTGATCGAAGCAAAATTTCTCAAAAAGTGTTGAATATACAATTCAAGCAGATTCTGTAAATTGATTTGAATACCCAACCTCCGTGAATATAGTTTGAATAAAGTAGTTCAGAACTGGTTTAATGCGCTTGATTTAAGGCTGTGTAAGAATATTTCGTGGTATTTATATTATTGGTACTTGAGCTTGTACATGTTTCGCACCAAACGGCATAATTTAAAAGTTTGTTCATATTACGTACAGCTGTTAAGGAAAATATTTTTTCCGGCATTCAACACGATCTGATTCGCTCAGGCGTAGAAAAAATCCGGATTGGCAATTAACAATGGTGTGTGGAATACAGGACTATCAAACAGGATTCATATTGATATAGCAAAGTCCCCATTAACTTAGCGTAACGAGAAAGAAGCATCTTGAGTTTATCAGCCTGTGTCGATTGCACTAGGTAAATAATGCGACTGTAATTACAGTGTGCAGGTTTTTCACGATTTTAATCTTTCACGACGACTGAATGCAATGATAATTTCTCGGCCATCAGACGTGTGAGAACGGCATTGTAGTCCAAAGTTTCAGAGACTGTCACTGTCTCCATTATCAGGGTTGATTATGGAGGCACAGTCTCCGAAACGGATTACAACGCCAGGCTGATCGCCCGAGAAGACTTCATTCTGAATGTGGTGGATTCATTTTCTCAGTTTCGGGACAAAGTAAGTATTATGAGATTTCAGGTTCTCACTGTCTTCCGCGTTATTGCGTAGTGCAGTCTCTGTAAGTTTATCGACGTTTCGAGACGATCGTCCTGGTGATGGCGGCAGCAAGAATCTCTGAAACGTCGATAAACTTCAATCAGACTATACGGAGTAAAAACCCAGAAGACAGCCATATTCGTTTAAGCATTACCTACTTTGTAACCGAAATTACAGAAAGAGTAATGGCCTCCGATAAGAATACGTGTTATAAAGCGGGAAAAGATGAATTTTGTGCTAATGATTGTAAACTTTATGCATAGCATCATTAAGTTTTCAGACTTGTTTATCTTTGCTTGAGTTCTAAAGATGAATTTGTGCATATAAATTAGATTCACGATTTATGTAGTAAACTTCAGCGTCAGTCAAAAACAAAATTTACTTAGCCTCTTCAGTTTCCAACTGAAATAAGTGTATTAATCACATTAAATTGAAATAAATATGACTGATTAATAAAATATGCTATTAGGAGTCGGCAACCTGCGGCCTACGACAACAGTGGTTATCGAAATATTTTTATGGGGTCCACCACATAATTTGGGAATTAACAGATGTGAAAACAGTACAAATTTTCTGCTAAGATTCATTGATAAGAATAACATAACTTATTCAAAAGTTATGGAAATCAATCGCCAACAAATAATCTTACTGTTGTAGACGTAGGCCTAAGACCTTAAGATCGTGTTATGGCGCTAAGGTACATTTTTTCGATGTTCAAATTGTATTATAAATAACAAATCAACCCGACAATCACTTTGATATTAACGACTGAATTTGTATAAAATTAACAATAACTGAAATCAGAACTGTTTCAAAAGTAACAAACGTCTTTATAATACACTCAATTGTAGGGATAAATACCGACAGTACACTTTGAGTTGAACAGTTTCACTTACAGTTCGCAACATTAATTTTTCTGTTGCCCTTGAGGAAAAAGAATTTAACAGGAAATAAAGAAATGGTATTAATTAGGTAGCCGACCCCTATGCTACATTATCAGAAATTAAGAGTTTAAATTGTTATGGACATCATAAAAAACGTGAATCTGGAAAATCTTGAATTTGTGGTAAGAAGATAGACACCAGCTATTAACAAGGTGTTACTCGTTTGAAAACTAAATCAAAACGTGTCCTGTGTGCAAAGTGTTTACCTTCAACTCATTTTAAATGTTACAAACACGCAATCTGCTCATTTTCATGCGACCGACGGCAAACAAACCCGCTAAGATAGCGAGGACGTTACTATATATTCAATTTAAAAATATATATTTTTATATTCAACCACAATTTTTATTGTTTTCATTTTTGTTTTCAAACACATTATATATGGACAGGTTTCACAATACACTATATATATTAGGGACACTACACTTACATATAGGTACAGCTACCAACAAGAAATTCAAATTTGCACTTTGACAAAAACGTCATACTAAAAAAACAAAAAAAAAACACAATAGATCACGAAAAAATTATGAGGTATTTCAATGTCTAATATAATTTAAGCCTATTTTATATATAAACATCTATGATGCTTTATATATGTATATAGCGTTCTATGTGTGTGAAGGACTGCAGTAGGAGGGTATAAGTGATTAGACTGAAATAAAAGACTCGACTCGTTTAATAGGCCTAAGCATACGTATAATTTGGCTTCTTTTGTATTTATGACTGCATTCTCTTCAAACGAAAGTTGACAATCTTAAATGTCAGACTTAAAATACTATTCGTTTGGAATTTTACAAAACTACTTTAAAAAAACTCAGTGTGGATAGAATTTTTTCGTATACTATCATTCACAGTATGAAAGACTCATGTCAGGTCATTTCATACAATTAAAATTTATTTTCATGGCACATGGGTTCCATTCAGGTAGGTGATTCTAGAACACCAACCAGTCAATGAAGTTAATATGGTTCTTCACAAAATACTGTCTTTGAATTTGTTTGCTAATGGGTCAGCGTAAGTACATATTTCAAAATTAAATACAGAGGCGTATAATATATTTTTCTCCCATTCGGACGTAACACTGATACATTTTTATTATATTTAAGAAGGAAACAATTCAGGTTTGAAAATGTATCTTGGGCTACATGCAGGTTATGTGAAATGACTATAACATTAATTAAGAAAAATGCGTTTTCTGAAAAAATCCAAACAACAATAGGCCTTTACAAGTACTGTAGACGAAATAACAGAACTGCAAATATTGCAGTTCGATAAGTTTTCTTTCTGGAAGGATTTTGTTTTGATTACGTATATCTACGTATCACCATAAATTAAAACCTGTTCCATGCGTTCTTTTACGTATATAAGGTGAAAATTGCATGCATTGACGGCTCAGTCTTCTTGACACTCACTTCGGCTAATATTGTACCAAAATTGTAAAATTTCATGACTCCTGATTCATGTATATGACCGTTGTGTACTTTTCGTAAACGATGTAAAAGAAATTCTTTCTTGGTGATTGAAAATCCTAATGATAGTTCTCAGACTCAACTATTTTAGTACCACAGTTTCAATAGAATTAGACAGACATATTTAGGTACATTTCATGGTTCATCAGCTACTAATTTCCTTAGGAGAATTACTGAAGACGGTTTTTGAGAATTCGCCGAAGTCTGGTACTGAGAACGCACATTAAGAACACGTAACCCCTAGTATTTGCATGTTTAATTAATGACAGATAAGCCTAAAACACGCATGCGCGACTTGGGTTCTTATTAACAAAAACCCGGGGAATACCCGGAACTATTTATGAGGAACTGTACGCCCATCTGCGGGGAGCAGTACCCCACAGCTCTCCCGGCTACAAAGTAAACGTATTTTTGTACAATTACTACAAAACCACACTGACAGTAATGTGTACTACGAAAAATTACAGTAATTCCTGTTTTCTGACTACAGACAAATGTACTATGTATTTTTACGTGACAAAACATGCGTTTTTATTTTTTTCTTATCGAATGTCTCTTATTATATACGAACGCGCGCAAAAACCACATGGTCTTAATCGAATTATATTTAATATTTATATATTTATACGTATTTTCTTATTTCATAGTGTATATATAGAACTCGACACGACACACATGTATTTATATATAGAATCTTTCCTTCCGAAAAAATACTTTTATACAAAGACGACGAAGAAGAATTATTTTATTAAAAAACAATGTTACAAGATGACCGATGTTTCGCCTTTAAATAATTATTATATTACAATATTTAAATATCGGTCTTCTTCAATAACTTTGTTTTCTTGTTTCATGTATTTAAAAGAAATCTCAAACAAACAAAAATAGAATTAATCCCGAGAACTGTTTCTTACAAGAAGGATGTAAGTCCGAATAAATGTTATTAATGATACAATATTTAACACAGCACAAATTATTATCTAATCTCACCTATACACATTTTACAATTTCGGAACAGAAAAAAATGTATATTTCTTATTGGTGTATAAATAAGTTACAATGCATGAGATTTGCAATATTTATAATTATTACGTATACAATACTCTAATATCAAAGAGATGCAAGGGGCATTCTTGATCTCACGTATTTCGTTTGCTCATTTTCAAAATTTCCACATGTTATTGGACAAAATTACTATAATTATGCACAAAACAACTACAACATCCTAACGAATATTTCCTTATTTATGCTCAAGTTAAGGGAGAATGCTTCTGGTATACAAAATAGCTCTTTTTAAGTGTATTTTATTTCTGTATTAACAATAAACGCTTTCACTGATGTTAACTTTAAATGTAGTAATAGGGGACACATGAAAATATAATTGGATACTACGTAATCCCTTGCAGAGTGATGTGAAGTTTCAATAAACATTACACTCCTTAGGCCTGGCTAAACCTCACATATTTAAATTTCTCAATTTATCATAGTGTTCAAAAGTGAATGCGTAATTGCCTCTGAAATGAAAATAATTACACCCAGAGGTTAACACATTAAAAAGTAACTAAGTAACTTACATTCGCCTGTAAAAGGACTGAACATCGTTTAAATCTAAATTTTTAAAATTATTCTTTTAGCCAAAAACAGTTTGGAGCGTGAAATACGAAGATAATAAGAGGAAAACAACAAAAGTATTGTTTCTACATAACCTTTGGTATAATCACGGTTAAAATTAAAACAAGAATCAACTCGTCACTCTCTTTAAGAATGCTAAAACGATTATTAAGAATACCATCCCCCAACTCACAGTGATATCTCTTCTTTAAAATATGCAGCGACCAAACTGTAGGCCTATCATGCTTTCTCTTACCACCTCATTGCACATAAGTATGACTTCACAGAGCCAATAACATGATTTGAGACTTTTGAATTGATGGAATTAACATTCAATATGAAGATGACGTTACGAAACGGAAACTCCGATTACTAACCGTACCAAAATTCACTCGAAAAGAAAAGTGTCATACTTTGATGTACTCAGACAAGACCCCTGTTCTCAAATAATTAAATTTGAAGTTATAACACATATTAGAAGACCCAATTGTTTTATAAAATTTTGCCTGATATCAATCTAATCCATATTAAACGAATTCATCAAATCTCAAGTCGGATGTTATACTGAGACGTGTAATATAAGTATATACTATGAAATAACACGAATTTATAAATCAAAATTGCCTTAAATTTTTTTTGTAATAATACATAAGTGAACACTAATATTACACGTTTCCTAAAATGACTGTCTCATTACATATAAATATATGTATCGTATATTGACAAACGTCTTATGCTTTACTTAATGAATATTTTCGCCCTATATCTGATCTAGTAATGGGAATAATTGCCCATTTTCGTAAGTTACATTTATACCAGTTTCTTGAATCCAGTCCTGGCATCACAAAGTAAACATAACTTATTTAGTTGTTTTTTATTGTAGCTTCGATTGCATTTATTCTCTGACACTTGCTTTTAGCATATGTTCACACGCACACAAATGAGTGGTGACTAAAAAACACACCACTAACTTCATTAAACACAACATCAGAGTTACCCATTAAACAGTCAGATAAGAATGTTAACCATTTTGAGTTCTGAAATTTCACCATTGTCTGTTATGTGAGAAAGTACTATGATCTGAAAGCTGGTCAAATACTAAGTTATTTCAGTTTTCCAATAAAGTAGATTTTAAACATGTACAAATAATCACATATGTTAACTAACAATGGTGAAATATTTCATCCGGGACAAAGATGAGCATTTGGAAGTACAGTTCAAGTTTTGTCCTTCTTTCTGTAACTTCTCATTGTACTAAATATAGTACTCGTCATCATTGGCTCCGGTTCACAAGCGTAAAATATTTCTATCAGCAGCATATCAACACTGACCTTTCTGTTGTGGCGTTAAATCCAGAAGAAAAATACGAAGTCTGAACTTACTAGATGGTAAGAAGTTCATGATCTGCTGGCGTTAAAGCTGACTCTTCGACAATTGAGGTAATCACTTCAGTGGAGAACTGTGACTGCTGAAGGGTCACTTGGACATTTTACACAGCTTCGCTGCATTTATTTACCGAGGGTGTGGATGTATTACACATGAACGGGGACAATCCGATATATCTTGGCACTAAAATCTTCTATCGGTACGAATTTTTTATGTAACGTTTTGAAGAGATGAAGAAGGGAGGTTTGAAACACTTTGCACATCCAGTAAGCACTTTTTTTGAGATCTTGCACGTAAATTACAGAATTTATTGCGTTATAACCTTAGAACACTATAGGGTACCACTAAGGAACATTATTTTTCTGCATCCTTGTTCTCGTGTATCTGATGATTAAACTTTAAATTTTTTTATTTCTTTGCAATTCTTGATAGTTTTCACTGTGCGTCTCGTATATCAACGTTGGAGGGATACATTACGTATATTGATTGGTTTTTCGATGTCCTCTCACTTTATTCATTTTTTTGTTTTTGTGTTCTTGTATAATAGCTTTCCACTGTTTATGAAACTTCACTTATGGACTTCACGTGAAACACGCCACAGGGAACTGCTTTGGCTCAGTCAGCTTTCTTATTATTTTCTCAAGAATTCGATGTTACTAAGATAAACATTATTTCTGTTCCGCACGCTATATTTAATGACCGTCCATGCAACAGAGTGTTGTTATTCTTTACTATCACAATATCGATGTTTAACACCCGCTCCACACTTCACACTTTATCTCGGACGCTTGAACAATGGCTTCATTCCTCAAGGGGGGATGAGTATTCTTAACTATCTTTCCAAAAAAATAACTTAAAAAAGAAAAATTATCAACTGTATAAAAAATATTAACCGGGTAATCGTAACTCTGGCTTTCATTTACATAGTGAAAATAAGTGATAGCGAATTTAAATAACATAATTTTGCCGAAAATAAATGCTCTATCCAAATTCTTTAAGAAAAGTTCGTTCAAGGTCAACGTATGCACTGTATTGACTTGGGAGAAGTTCATGTCATGGAAATATTCATTCACTGAGAGAGCACAATAAACATAAAATAATTTTAGAGAATTAAAGCAAAACCCCAGCAAATTTAATTATTATTATTATTATTATTATCAACAAATACGAATGTCGTTATTTATTTAATGATTATATTCGAGAAAGACATTCAACTTCCTCGAAGTTATTTGTTGAGCTTATTTCCAAGTACGTTCCTGTAATTAAAGTCATTTCAGATCTTCTAGGGTTGTCTTAATTTGGCTCCAGAAGAAAATATTTTTTTGACTACATTTATAAATAGAAAAGAAAACAGTCTGACGAAAGGGAAACGAACGGTTATCATTTTCCCTTGAAACCAGCGGCTGAGAGTGAAACTGTTACTTTTATTGCGGTGAGGTTTGTGGTGTTATGTCCGAGCCAGCGTTCCCGTCACCGTTTTGACCACCCTCAGGTTTCGACTTATTTTCCTTCTTCCACTTCATGCGTCTGTTCTGGAACCAAATCTTGATCTGCCGCTCCGTGAGACACAGGGCGTGGGCGATCTCAATTCTTCGTCTTCTGGTCAGGTAGCGGTTGAAGTGGAATTCCTTCTCCAACTCCAATGTCTGGTACCTCGTGTATGTTTGTCGTCCTCGCTTCCTCTCTGTAAAAATACGGAAATAAACTACCATAAGAAACATTCACAGGGATACGGAGTAAAATGGACTATACAAAGATATCAAATTAAAATATTCCTTTTGAAATAATTTGAAATTCAAGGCGATGTAACCCATTTCAGGAGAATTAGAGATGAGCCACACGCAAAGTATTATTAAGTGCAAGTTCAATGTTGGACCCTAAAAAAATCAAAAGACAAGTGTCAATACCATTTTATTAATGTCGGTCCTTGTCATCGGTCAAAACAGTTGGTGTAACTGTATCTATTTCATTTTGGCTACTAAAATGCAGGCCCTGCTATCAAATTAGAAATGCCGTAACGTGAAATATTTGTCAAATGCCTCTGTTATCTCAGTCCAAGATATCACACAAGCGGTGAGTCTAACTGATGACAAAGTTTTTGACATTAGTGTGACCGCTGATTTGGAGCATAATCGTGTTCTTTTCTAATAAATTTAGATGAAAGGCAATGGGGAATATTGATCATTTCATAATCCCTTGGTTTCATTTATCTGCCCTGCAGTGATAAAATACTAAACTCCTAACTCTCATCACGCCCACTCCGCTACGTCAAATTTCCCCTCTAATTCCACCCCCCTTACCCGGGGCTGCAACTTCTAAGCAAGCGAAGCTACTTAGTAATTCTACATCACATCCCAGTTCCTTAGATCTTAACAACCTCTTAGTACCCTGCCTATGGATATATTTTGACTTCAAATTTACTTTCATATTACAATTAATGATTATCTGTGCATTGGACTCAGTAAAGATACAGCAAATCATCTTTCTAATGGTCTCAATAAGACGATCAGAACAATACATGAACCGCAATAAATCAGATTTCGCTTTCAGTAATGACGTTTACCAGGAACAACTTAATACTAAAGTCTCAATATTTCCGAAGTTCTCTGCTCACGATTCGGATCATGATGTAATATTTAGCCTGAAGCAGAACTCTAATTAACAGTCCGTTCTCTCTTAAACGTAGCTATGTCGATGCGATCTAAAAATTGATTGCATCAATTTTCACTAATTCGCATCCTAGACTCTATATTCCAAACAAAATAATGTTTGAAAATATTATCACCTTAACAAACATACCATCTCTGCTTCACTATGTGCACAGAACCTTACAAGTTTACACAGCAATATTAAAATTGTACCGGTGTGAAACAAAAAAATTATCGTATTCAATAAAGTCGCATTTTTATTAGAAATGCCTCCTTTAGCAACAATCGGTAAGAACTTAACTTTCAGTAGCGTAAAATTGTCAGTTACCTTCACGTTGACGTGGCTTTCCAATTAACAATACGTCCATTCCGAAATTAAATTAAAAAAACACCGACCATTGTGAATAACAGTAAGAACGGAAATATCTTTGGGATGGAAAATGTATACAACATCTTAGTAGGAAATCGCGAATTGAAGACATAACTTCGAGAAGCAGATGGGAAGATACTATTAAAATGGATGCTAAGATATAGGGTATAAAAATGTGGGCAAAATTAAAATTACTTCAGGATACGTTCCAGAGGCTGGATTTTGTGACCAAGATAGTGAATTTTTGGGTTCCACAAACGGCAGAGGATTTGACAAGCTGAGAGAATATCGGTTTCTCAAGGACTCTGTCTTATGAAGGCAGTTTTTTTATATATGATGAACATAAAACATGGGAGCTTTAAGATCCTCACGGTGGCGAAGAAGTCGATATTGGTCTTTGATCTATAATACCGTCTGGACATGTAGACAGATACTAATTTTCAGAGAAATACACTGTGTACATCTTCATCTTCAGGGTATCTACGAACATGTGCACACGGCATTACAATCTAGAAGACGAACATCGACATCATAAAGATGCTATAACAATTCCTTGACAAACAGTTTCGATGGTAATTACCTTTAAATTAATGACACAAATAAGAATAAACAAACAAGTGTGCAGAAACAAGGTTATAGTAAAACGATAATAATTGCGCAAAGCTATTCTACCAGACGGTGGTCTAGCGGTCAGAACGCTGGGCTTGTAATCCTGGGGTCCTGGGTTCGATTCCCGGCCGTGGTCCAGGTATTACGGAGATTTCCTCCGGGGCTTCCCCGGTTTCTCCGTGGCATCCCAACAATTACTCCATTCTCATCATCATTTACACACAGAAGAAGGCAACGGCAAACCACTTCTGGATCATTTGCCGAGGAAACATACGAACAGGTCCCTATCAGAGGGAACTTGTTCTCAATGTCACCAGGGGTCGGCTCCGATCCAGTGGTACCAAAAAAAATCTACCAGCTGTTCAGATGCCATAGGGGCAACACATAAAAACGAATGACATGCTGAATCATAACAATTCAAGTCGGTTAATGCATTAAAAACTGATGTATGCTCAGTGTTCTAATTTTTTAAGTAATAAAATTCACAGTAACAAAATCAAGTAGCTAATAAAACATACGAAAATTCTTGGATGTTTAAACTTTCAGAAAGTTACTATCAAAGCCAAATATAAATTCAGGAAGACATTAAGCAGATTAAATTCGGGAAATGCTTGCGACCATTCAGTTCAATATCCTCAGTATTTTGTCCCATGCTTAATACGAAAAGATTAAATCATACAACATTAAAGTTTCACCTGTTGCTTTTGCTGCTTTATGTGGATGTTTAATTTAGTCTCCTTTAATCCTAAGTTTATTTAAGAGTATGAGAACAGGATCTGCGTATCGTTGAAGAGTTCTCTAGGATACACGCACATAAATAAGTATTATTCCGAATATAACGCAAAGATCTAAAACACATCGAGCCGCCTAGGGTAACAAACTAAATTACTCGTAGTTTTTACTTTCGTACAATTTCAACAACCTTTGAAGCTTTAGTAATGAATACGAGGTGCGATCGGAAAGTTTCTAGACTGCGCCTATAAAAACCCGTACACTTATCTCAGGTATTAAATTCATCCATCACCCTCGAAGTAGTTCCCCTGGGAGTGAACACAACGATCCCA